TGGACAAGATTTGCCTATGGTGGTGGCATTAAAACATGTGTCTTACTGACCCTCAAGTCTTTGTGGATTGGGAACTTCCTCTGGCTTGAGGATTATTATAATTTTTGTTATTAGGAACCTCCTCTGGCTTGAGGATTATTATAATTTTTTTTACCTGTATCAAAATCTTGCTGTATCTTAATTTTTATTATCTCTAAGTTGTTGATATCCTCTGTTGCTATTGTGGAATCTGGTTACAGTGCTCCAGCTTTCTCACACAGGGACCATTGCAGAAGATTGAAAGCATGTAGATTGTAAGGCGAGAATCCTAGAGGGGAGGAGTGTGGGGAAGTTGGGGTTCCTATGGCCAGGATCCTCACTGAACTTAAACCACCTGATGATGTAACTGGCCTGTTGCTAGGCTACCCTTCCACAACTTTAGGCAATAAGCTATTATTGTGCTATATGGAGAGCTCGGCCCAGTGCTCTGGGCAGAGGTAGAGATGCTAGTGCTTGACCTACCACCGGGAGAACAAGCTGGGTAATAAACCCTTTCACCCCAAAGAACGTTTTGCTGTCAATTTCTTTGGTCACATTGAATCCATAGCGAACTTGCCCAGGGCTGAAACCCATTGGCAAGACACAGTGACACATGCAATCACTGAGGATATAAAAAATAGATGATAGCAAAGAGGAGGGGTGGGAGCAGGGAGAAAATGTGACGAAAGATTTATAAAGTGGGTGACATATGAACAACATTTTGAAGAAGGAATAGGAACTTGCAAGAAATATTGGACTTATAGTCTGCTGCATATCATGAGAGATTTTAGCAAAGGCTTGAGGGATAACAATTTGTTCATGGAGGCTGAGAAGGCAATGAGGCTGAAAAGGGGAGAATTACTTTAACTCACAGTGGAATGATTAAAAAAATGTCATATACAGTAGCTTAACTGACTGAACACAGGAGACCTCACTCAGTCCTGGCATAGACAAGACTCACAAGTTGATAACTCTTTCTCAATTCCTTGGGTGGCAGAGCAATCTGTTGGTAGAGGATGGCCATTCTTAGTTGGTAAAAAATGTGGTTAATTCTGATAACAAACAGGACTCTGGCATGCTAATTAGTTATGCAACCCCCATGCTATGGGCATCCTCCAACTCTTCAGAGAGAAAGTGGTGTTCAGCAACCCAAGATTTAAAGAAATAACAAGACTGCGATGCCCTTAGATGTCTCAGTTTGTATGCACACTAAACTAACTGGCTCAGTATGGGCCTATCCTGAGACTATGGGTGCAGACACCATAAAGGGTATTGTACTTGGATTCCTTCTGTAAGTAATGGATGCCCCAACTTTGGGACAGAGAAAGTTTAGAGAGAAGGAAAATTACGGCAGTAGTGAGACAGGTCCTTACACACCTAGGTAGCCAGCAGATTATGACAAGTGCATTACTCCTAGACCTAAAACTTCTTCCTAAACTTGATAGAAGGCACAGAATTTTAGGCAAACTGAGTTTATTAAAATGTAGGGCCATGATATGACATGTACATTAGAGAGAAATTACTTCTAACCAAACAGCCAAATTTGCATACTTTCTCAGTTTTTCTCTAGTCTTAACTCACTGCTTAAGTTTTACCCATATGTGACTGTAAACTATTTCTCCCTTAGACTCAGGTCATTGTTTACTTGTATTAGGATATAGTCAAGGAAATTTGAAAAATTCTAGGCTTTCTACATAGACCATAACTTTTCCAGATTAAATAATGCTTAGCTTTAACTAGATAGCTTGAAAGCTTTATCTAGAGAACAAAGCCTACCAGCAAATAATTTCAACTTTTCAACTTTCTCCATTAGGTGACATAGAATTGACCTAATCTTATATTCAAATTATTTGATAATATTAATCTAATAATGTACATGGGACAGAACCCATGATTCTTTGGTATGCATTAGTTGACACTGAAGACCATGAAATACTAAGAGCTTGCAAGAATAAACGAAGGAGAAATCTCAAGACAAAGGAAAAAAGTTTGAGGAATTAGAAACAAGCTAATTTAGGTTGTAACTCCTGATAATATTATTTCTATCTTCTATGCCATCCTTTATATGATACTGTGTTGACGGGGACTAGAAACGGGATGGATATGTGGAAATACAATGTAGAAAATTTTATCAAATCTTCTTTCTCTGAGCCAGTATTGACCAGGTTCTTTTCTGATACCCATGGCATATCAAATGTCACATACCAATAAAATCCCTCAGAAATCTACCAGCTGTGTTGTGCTCTGCCTTCTATAGATTTACGTTATATCAGAAATCAAAAGGACTATTATTACAACAAAATAGATACAAGATAAAGAACTTTGCTTTTATCCTTATTGAATTTCTTGTTAGTTTTAATTATCAGATATTCTCTCAACTATTACACCATTTGAAAATGTGATAACTGAAAGTTCTTTATTTCATCCAAGTAAGTGGTAGAAATGTTGAATAAGATAGGGGAAGAATAAAGCTAAATAATGTTATGGACTTCTCTTTAAGCTGAAAATAATACTATTATAGCCACCCAATCAAACAGTTATAAATCAAACTGAATTATAATCCAATACACAATATTAATTGTCCATATAAATATGGCCACCTGTCAAATCCATTTGAATGACATTCCCCCTAAATTTCATATCAGTAAAGGAAATAGACTGCATGACTCAGAATCAGATATCATGTAATATCAAAATCTCCAAATGCCCTTAATACAACACAAAATTAATCATGGCATGGTACCTTTTTTGGTAATAAAACTTTAACAATTTTTTTAATGTAAGCATGGTATTCGTTTACTTTTTCCACCTTTACTGAGGAATAATTGAAAAATAAAAATTATACATACATGCAGTCTGCAACATGATCATTTTTTCATATATATATACATATACATGAAATTATTATAGTGAAATGAATACCACAATTAAGCTAATTAACATATCCATCATCTGATATAGTTCTCACTTTTTGTGTGGTGAGAACATTTAGGGTGTACTTAGTCAATTTCAAATACATAATGTATTATTATTAACTATAGTCACCATGCTATACATTCCAGAACTTTTTCATCCTGCACAATTGAAACTTTGTAAACTTTGACCAACACCTCCCATTTCCTTTGAACTACCAGCCCTTGGCAACCACCATTCTACTCTCCTATGAGTTCCACTTCTTTTAGATTCCACTCGTAAGTGAAATCATGCAGTATTTGTCTTTCTGCATTATTTGACAGCATAATGTTCCTCAGTTTCCTCCTAGTTGTTGCAAATGGCAGGACTTCCTTCTCTTTTTAAGGCTTACAGTATTTTACTGTGTATATACCACATTTCCTTTATCCATTCATCTGTCTACAGACAGATTGATTCCAGAGCTCTGCTATTGTGGATAATGCTTCAATGAACATGGCTCTATAGATCTCTCTCTGAGATACTGATTCATTTCCTTTGGATATATAATCAGGAATTAGACTTCTGTACCATATGGTAGTTCTACTTTTAATCTTTTGAGGAACAACCATACTGTTTTCCACACTAGCTACACCAATTTACATTCCAAAACGTACAAAGATTCCCTTTTCTCCACATTCTCACCAACACTTACATCTTACCTTTTTGAGAATAGTCATTCTAACAAGTGAACAAGTGTGAGGTGATATCTCATTATGCTTTTGATTTGCATTCCCATGGTGATTTATGATATTGAACATTTTCTTGTATACCTGTTGATCATTTATTTGTATGCCACCTCTTGAGATATATGTATTCACATCCTTTGCCCATTTTTTAATCACGTTATTTTCTTGCTATTGAGTTGTTTCAGTTCCTTATATATTTTGCATATTAGCCCCTTGTCATATACATGCTTTGTAAATATATTTTCTCACTCAGTCGATCATTTTCTTTACTGTGAAGAAGCTTTTTAGTTTGATGCAATCCAGTGTATCCGTTTTTGTTTTTGTTGTCTGTGCTTTTGGGCTCATATCCAAAAACTTACTGCCCAGATGAAAGTCAAGAAGCTTTTCCTCTATGGTTTCTTCTAGTAGATTGATAGCTTCAGGTAATAAAATTGAATCTCTAATCCACCTTCAGTTGATTTTTTTAATGTAATATAAAATAAAAGTCCAATTTCATTCTGCATGCAGATGTCCAGTTTTCCCAACACCATTCAGTGAAGGGATTGTGCTTTCCCCAATATGTGTTCTTAGCGGTAAATGTATGGATTTTTTTCTGGGGCTCTCTATTCTGTTACACTGGTCTAAATGTTTTTTTTATGCCAATGCCATCCTGCTTTTATTATTAGAAATTGGTAATATATTTTGAAATCAGGTAGTGTGATGCGTCCAGATTTGTTCTTTTTTCTGCAAGATTGCTTTGGCTATTTGCAGTCTTGTATTTCCATATGAATTTCAGGAATTTTTTTCTATTCTGCGAAAGTTTCTATTAGAATTTTGATGGAGATTGCATTGAATCTGTATATCACTTGGGTAATATGTACTTTTCACAGTATTATTTATTCCAATCCATGAACATGGGATATCCTGCCATTTATTTGCATATTCTAAAATAGCTTTCATGAACCTTTTATAGTTTTCAGTGGACAGATCTTTCACCTCCTCAGTTAAATTTATTCCTAAATATTTTTTATGATATTGTAAATTAGATTGGTTTCTTAAGTTTTTTGTATAGTTTATATTAATGTATAAAACTGTTACTGATTTTTTAATGATTTTGTGTCCTACAACATGAGAGACTAAAAGCAATTAATGGCAAAATTTTGTAATAATTCATAAAATGCCACTTTGTGAAATTCTAATAATTATTGTTTAAAAAAGAAAGACCTCCATGTGCTTCCGTTTTTCTGTTTCACCTACAAATCTGAAGCCTCTCCATTGCTGATAATGACTTTATAGCTATTTTTTCATTACAATGAGATGTACTATAGCTACATCTGAAGTTTTCAGCTAATTTAAAGCAGTAGGGTTCTCACTTCAGCAGCACACATACTAAAGCTGGAACAACACAGAGAAGATTAGCATCCTATGTAAGGATGACACACAAATTTCACTTTATTAAAAAAAGTTTGTTAAGCACTAGTGCATTTTGCTTTATCACCATAAACATCTTAGGACTCAATTTCTTATAAACCATGTGTGTTTCATCCATTTTAGATTGCAAATCATTTTCTCTAATTGGAAGAATAAATCCAATTCACCAATGCGGTGGCTCTACTATCCTTATTATCATCTATCTCATGCCTATGGAGTTCTTTTATCTTCTTAGCAATTCTTTTGCCAAATAAAACTCATACAAAGTCATTTTAACTTTCTTTGGTATATTTTACAACAAATTGTTGACCTCTTTAAGCTTCCTGGAATTCTTTTGTATTCATTGCATCTCTCATTTTCTTTTATTCAATTATAATTTTCTTAGTGTCTGCTTATCTTACTAAAGGACAGAAATCATGTTTCCTATATTTTGTGTATGTCCTTTTATGATTTGACAACTATGTTCATACTTTGCCATTAAATTCCAGTTATATCCTATTTATTGGATATCTATCTATTCTACCTATATCTTCTACCCTAATTTTTTGCTACTTTTATTTTTCCATAAGTGCATTCTTTTAAGCTTTCTCAAATTCTTTAAAAATAAGAAGAATAAATAATAAATACAGGCACATCTCAGAGATACTGTAGGTTCAGTTCCAGACTCTACAATAAAATGAATATAGCAATAGAGCAAGTCAAATGAACTTTTCTGCTTCCCAGTGCATATAAAATTACATGTATATAATTATTATAATAATAAAAAACATACTATAGTCTGTTAAGATTCAACAGCATTATGTCTGTAACAAAAAACAGCATTATGTCTGTAACAAAAAAATGTACGGACCTTAAGTAAAAAAATACTTTATTGCTAAAAAATGCTATTATCTGAGCTTTTTATAAATTAAAAAAAAAGTTATAATCATTTTGTGGGTAGAAGACCTCGCCTCGATGTTGATGCCTGCCAACTCATCAAGGTGGCTGTTGGTTGCTGAAGGTTGGAATGGCTGTAGAAAATTTCTAAATTAAGAAAACAATGAAGTTTGATGCATAGACTGACTCTTCTTTTCATGAGCAATTTCTCTGTAGCACTCAATGCCCTTTGATAGCATTTTACCCATAGTAGAACTTCTTTCAAAATTGGAGTCATTCCTCTCACACCCTGCCAATGTTGTATCAACTAAGTTCATGGAATATTCCAATCTTCACAGCATCATTACCAGGAGTAGATTCCATCTCAAGAGACCACTTTCTTTGCTCATCTGTAAGAAGCAACTGCTCATACATTCAAGTTTTATCATGAGATTGCAGCAATTTAGTCACATCTTCAGGCTCTAGTTCTAATTCTAGTTGTCATTCTATTTCCCCCAAATCTGCAGTTACTTCCCCTGTTCAACCCTCAAAGTCATCCAAGAGGGTTGGAATCAACTCTTTCCAAACTCCTATTCTTGTTGATATTTTGACCTTGTCCCATGAATCACAAATGTTCTTAATGGCACCTAGAATGGTGAATCCTTTCCAGAGAGTTTTCAATTGAATTTGTGAGATCCATCAGAGGAAATACCATCTATGACAGCTATAGCATTAAAAAATCTATTTCTTAAATAATAAGTCTTGAGTGTCAAATCTGACTTGTGTCTTGACTCCTTTCTCCATGAGATAGAGAATGGATGTCATGTTAACAGGAATGAAAACAACATTACTGTCACTGTATGTTCCCATCAGAGCTCTTGGGTAACCAGGTGCATAGTCAAAGAGAGGTCATATTTTGAAAGAAATCTTTTTTCTGAGCAGTAGGTTTCCACAGTGGGCTTAACATATTCAGTAAACCATGTTGTAAACAGATGTGCTCTCATCTAAGCTTTGCTGTTCCATTTATAGAGCACAGGCAGAGTAGTATTTGTATAATTCTTAAGGATTGTTGAAATTGTAAATAAGCACTGGCTTCAATTTAAAGTCACCAGTTGTACTAACCCTGACAAGAGAGTCAGCCTGTCCTTCAAAACTTTGAATCCAGGCTTCATTGATTTCTTCTCTCCAGCTTTGAAAGTCCTAGATGGGACCTTCTTCTAAGACAAGGCTGTTTTGTCTACACTGAAAATATATTGTTTAGTATAGTCACCTTCATTACCTTACCTAGATCTTCTGGATAACTTGCTACAGCTTCTGCATTAGCACTTGATGCTTCACCTTGAACTTTTACATTACAGAGATGACTCATGAGCCAACCTCTGCTAGCTTTAAGCTTTTCTTTTCTGCAACTTCACTCTCTCACCTTTCATAGGATTAAAGAGATGTAGGGCCTTGCTCTGGATTAGGCGCTGGTTTAAAGGGAATGTTATAGCTGGTTGGATCTCCTATCCAGACCATTAAAACTTTCTCTGTGTCATCAATAAGGCTGTATTGTTTTCTTATCATTCATGTGTTCACTGAAGTAGCACTTCTATTTGCTTCAGGAACTTTTCCTTTGCACTTATAATTTGGCTAACTGGTGCAAGAGGCCTCGCTTTTGGACTATCTCAGCTTCTGACATATCTTCTTCACTAAGCTTAATAATTCTAGCTTTTGATTTAAAGTGAGAGATGTGCAACTCTTACACTTCAACTCTTCAAGGCCATTGTAGGGAGAGAGAGAGGTGAAAGGCCACTCAGTGGAACAGTCAGAACACACACAATATTACTTAATTAAATTCGCCCCTGTATATGGACACAGTTTGTAGTACTCCAAAAAATTACAATAGTAACATCAAAGATCACTCATCAAAGATCACCATAGCAAATAAAATATTAATAATGAAAAAACTTGAAATATTGCAAGAATTATCCAGATGTGATAGAGACACAAAGTGAGCAAATGCTGTTGGGAAGATGGTAAAGATATACTTCCTAGAAGCAGAGTTGCCATAAACCTACAATTTGTAAAAAAATTCAGTATCTGCATGTTTTATTGCACAAAAATGCAATAAAACAAAGCACAATATAACAAGATAAGCCTGCATGCATATGCCTTAAAATGTTCTTTTAAGATCTGACCCTTAAAAAGTCTAACATATAGCAATACTGCCTTCTCAGAATTTTACTCAGAAGAGTGCCTCCCTGTCAACCTTTTAGACTAGTTTTATTCTTATGAGTCTCTGATCTTAGGAACATTTCCTGTTTTCTACAGATCATTTTTTTTTTAAATTTATTTTATGTATTTTTTTTTTGAGAGAGGGCATCTCTCATATTTATTGATCAAATGGTTGTTAACAACAATAAAATTCAGTATAGGGGGGTCAACGCTCAATGTACAATCATTAATCCATCTCAAGCCTAATTCTCGTCAGTCTCCAATCTTCTGAAGCATAACGAACAAGTTCTTACATGGTGAACGAATTCTTACAGAGTGAATAAATTCTTACATGGTGAACAGTACAAGGGCATTCATCACAGAAACTTTCGGTTTTGATCATGCAATATGACCTATAAACCATCAGGTCAAATATGAATATTCATTTGATTTTTGTACTTGATTTATATGTTGATCCCACATTTCTCCTATTATTATTATTATTTTTATTTTTAATAAAATGCTGAAGTGGTAGGTAGATGCAAGATAAAGGTAGAAAACATAGTTTAGTGCTGTAAGAAGGCAAATGTAGATGATCAGATGATCAGGTGTGTGCCTATGGACTAAGTATTAATCCAGGCTAGACAAGGGCAGCAAGACATCCACGGATGCAGAAGATTTCTCTCAAAGCAGGGGGGGTGAGGTTCTGAGCCTCACCTCTGTTGATCCCCAAATTCTCACCTGATGGCCCCCCTGCGACTGTGCCTGTCTTAGGTTGTTCCTCCCTTGAGGAATCTTACCCGTCTCTGGCTAACCAGTCATCTTCCGGGGCCATACAGGGAAATGTAAAGTTGGTAAGTGAGAGAGAAGCCATATTGTTTG